CCAGGGGGTAACAGATTCCAAGGCCCCCTGCAAGGTGCAGCGACCACAAGCCCTTTTCGGCCATGGGGCCCTCTTCCCCTCGGGGGACACCTGCAACCTCCTCCGCACTCACACCCCGAGGGGCTGACAGTGTGCCGAGGACGCCATGGACGAGGGGCGGGTTCACCTTAAGGGAGGGTACCCACTGTATGCCTCGGACTGGCCGCGACCGCGGCCTCCTCCAAAGCTGCAGGCAGACAGGTCGGCGGGGAAAGGCCCGGGCAACCCGGCAGCACTAAAGGGGAAGAGTCCTCACCTGGCCAGGCAGCACTGTTGAGCCTCAGGTTCCGCCCGGTCCGGAGCCTGTCCCCACACCGGACTCTGCCTGAGCACAGGTGCAGTTCAAGGGGCCGCCGCTAGGGGGCGCGGGCAAGGGGGTTCAGGGACCCTCAGCCCCCACTAGGGCCGCTGCTAGGGGGCGATGGTGAGGGGTTCGGGGACCCCTGCTTCCCACCGGCTGGGGCCACCCCTGCACCCATGGGGGTACGGGATTGTCCCCCCCATGGGGTAACGGGCCCTCTTCCATTTCGCGAAGCCCAATCTTCCTCCCGGTGCACGCCAGCACCCTCCTCTCGCACTCACAACCCAGTTACGGGTTCGTGCGAACGCAGACGCCCTAGAGGGAGGGCCGGGGTCCCTGTCAGGGGAGGGCACTCCCTGTAAGCCAGGGACAAGCGGCGACCGCGGCCTCTTCCAAAACTGCAGGCACACAGGCCGCGCGGAAACACACCGGGCAAGCCAGAACCACTCAAAGGGAAGAGTCCTTACCTGGCCCAGCAGCTCTGATGAGCCCCAGTCTCCGCCCCTGGCCGGAGCCTGACCCCGCCCACCTGACTCTGCCTGTGCACAGGTGCACTTCCTAGGGCCGCCGCTAGGGGGCGCTGTTGAGGGGGTTCGGGGACCCTCAGCCCCCTCGGGGTAGGGGGACATCTGCAACCATGGGGGAACGGAACTTTTCTCCCCCATGGGGTAACGGGGCTCAATTCCCCCCGGGGGAAGCCCAAATCTTCCTCCCGGGACACGCCTGCACCCTCCTCTCGCACTCACAGCCCAGCGGCGGGGCATGCGCCCGCAGACGCCCTAGACGGAGGTTGGGGTCCTGTCAGGGGAGGGCACCCCTGTAAGCCAGGGACAAGCGGCGAACTCAGCCTCTTCCAAAACTGCAGGCACACAGGCTGGCGCGGAAAGCCTCCGGCAAGCCAGCACCACTCAAAGGGGATGAATCCTCACCTGGCCGCAGCGCTGATGAGCCCCAGGCTCCGCCCCTGGCTGGAGCCTGACCCCGCCCACCCAACTCTGGCTGCGCACAGGTGCACTTCCTAGGGCCGCCGCTAGGGGGCGCTGGTGAGGGCGTTCGGGAATCCTCAGCCCCCACCGGGCTGGGGCCACCCCTGCACCCATGGGGGTACGGGATTGTCCTCCCTCATGGGGGAACGGGCTATCTCCCTCGGGGAAAGCCCAAATCTTCCTCCAGGCGCATGCCTGCACCATCCTCTGGCACTCACAGCCCCAGTGGCGGGGCAGTGTGCCTGCAGACGCCCTAGACGGAGGCGGGGTGCCTGTCAGGGGACGGCACCCCCTGTAAGGCAGGGACAAGCGGCGACCACAGCCTCTTCCAAAACTGCAGGCACAAAGGCCGGCGCGGAAAGCCCCGGGCAAGCCAGCACCACTCAAAGGGGAAGAGTCCGCAGATGGCCCAGTAGCGCTGATGAGCCCCAGGATCCACCCCTGGACGGAGCCTGACCCCGCCCACCCGACTCTTCCTGCGCACAGGTGCACTACCTAGGGCCGCATCTAGGGGGCGCTGGTGAGGGGGTTAGGGGACCCTCAGCCTCCTCGGGTCTAGGGGGACCTCTGCACCCATGGGGGAATGGAACTTTCCTCCCCCATGTGGGAACGGGGCCCTCTTCCCTCGGGTAAGCCAAATCTTCCTCCCAAGTCACGCCAGCACCCTCCTCTGGCACTCACAGCCCAGCGGCGGGGCCGTGCGCCCTCAGACGCCCTAGACGGAGGGCCGGGGTCCCTGTCAGGGGAGGGCACCCCCTGTAAGCCAGGGACAAGCGGCGACCGCGGCCTCTTCCACAACTGCAGGCACACAGGCCGGCGCGGAAAGCCCCGGGCAAGCCAGCACCACTCAAAGGGAAGAGTCCGCACCTGGACCAGCAGCGCTGATGAGCCCCAGGCTCCGCCCCTGGCCGGAGCCTGACCCCACCCACCTGACTTTGCCTGCGCACTGGTGCACTTCCTAGGGCCGCCGCTAGGGGGCGCTGTTGAGGGGGATCGGGGACCCTCAGCCCCTCGGGCTAGGGGGACCTCTGCAACCATGGGGGAATGGAACTTTTCTCCCCCATGGGGGAACGGGGCTCACTTCCCCTTCGGGGAAGCCCAAATCTTCCTCCCGGGAAACGCCAGCACCCTCCTCTCGCACTCACAGCCCCAGCGGCGGGGCATGCGCCCGCAGACGCCCTAGACGGAGGGCTGGGTCCCTGTCAGGGTAGGGCACCCCCTGTAAGCCAGGGACAAGCGGCGACCAAAGCCTCTTCCAAAACTGCAGGCAAACAGGCCGGCGCGGAAAGCCCCGGCAAGCCAGCACCACTCAAAGGGGAAGAATCCTCACCTGGCCCGCAGCGCTGATGAGCCCCAGGCTCCGCCCCTGGCCGGAGCCTGACCCCGCCCACCCGACTCTGGCTGCGCACAGATGCACTTCCTAGGGCCGCCGCTAGGGGGCGATGGTGAGGGCGGGTTCGGGAATCCTCAGCCCCCACCGGTCTGGGCCACCCCTGCACCCATGGGGGTACGGGATTGTCCTCCCCCATGGGGGAATGGGGCTATCTTCCCCTTGGTGGAAGCCCAAATCTTTCCCCCGGGGAACACCTGCACCCTCCTTCGCACTCACAGCCCCAGGGGCATGCCGAGCGACCTAAGGCGCCCTAGACGGAGGGGTGGGGTCACTGTCCGAGACGGCACCCCTGTACGCCACAGACAAGCGGCGACCACGGCCTCTTCCAAAACTGCAGGAAGACAGGGCGGCGCAGAAAGCCCAGGGCAACCCAGCCCCACTGAAAGGGTAAGAGTCCTCACCTGGCCCAGCAGCGCTGATGAGCCCCAGGCTCCGCCCTGGCCCTAGCCTGACCCCGCCCACTGGACTCTGCATGCGCGAAGGGGCACTTCTCAGGGCTGCCGCTAGGGGCGCTGGTGAGGGAGTTCGGGAACCTCAGCCTTCATGGGGTTTGGGGGACCTGTACCCCCATGGGGAAACGGGGCATCCCTTCCCCCATGGGGGAACGGGGCACTCTTCCCCCTTGGGGGAACGCTGAGTCTTTCCCCGGGGCACACCTGCAACCTCCTCTCGCACTCACACCCCTAGGGGCATGCCGTGCGCCTGAAGACGCCACGGTCACTGTCAGGGGGCACCCCCTGGAAGCCACAGACGAGCGGTGACCGTGGCCTCTTCCAAAACTGCAGGCAGACAGGCCGGCGGGGAAATCCCCGGGCAACTGTCACCACTCAGAGGGGAAGAGTCCTTCCCTGGCCCAGCAGGGAATGAAGAGCCCGAGGCTCCGCCCCTGGCCCAGAGCCTGACCCGCCCACTGGACGGCTCGTGCGCGAAGGTGCACTTGTCAGGGCCGGTAGCGGGCGCTGGTGAGAGGGTTCGCGGACCCTCAGTCCCCACGGGTTTAGGGGATCTCTACCCCCATGGGGAAATGGGACCCACTTCCCCTTAGGACCGGGGCACCCTTCCCCCTTGGGGGAACGGTCAATCTTCCCCCGGGGGCACACCTCACCCTCTTCTCGCACTCACACCCCCAGGGCCAGGCCGTGCTCCCTGTGACGCCCATGAGGGAGGGGCGGGGTCACTGTCGGGGGGCACCCCCTGGAAACCACAGACGAGCGGCGACCGCGGCCTCTTCCTAACTAGAGGCAGACAGGCCGGCGGGGAAAGGCACCGCAGCCCAGCCCCACTCAGAAGGGAATAGTCTTCACCTGGCCCAGCAGCGCTGATGAGCCCCGGCTCCCCCCCGGCCGCAGTCTGGCCCCGCCCACCAGATTTTGCCTGCGCAGCGGTGCACTTCTCAGGGCCGCCGAGAGGGGGCACTGGTCAGGGACTTCCCAGACCCTCCTCCCCCACGGGTTGCGGTCCCTCTACACCAACGGGGTTACGGGGTACTAAGTCTTACAGGGACCCGGTTCTCAAGACCGTTGGGAACAGGTCCCTTCCCCCTGGTGGATACCTGCACCCTCCTCTCGCACTCACACCCCAGGGCCAGGCCGTGCCCCCAAAGACGCCCATGAGGGAGGGGCGGGGTCACTGTCAGGGTGGGCACCCCTGGAAGCCACAGACGAGCGGCGACCGCGGCCTCTTCCAAAACTAGAGGCAGACAGGCCGGCGTGGAAAACCCGGGCAACCCAGCACCACTCAGAGGGGAAGAGTCCTCACCTGGCCCAGCAGCGCTAATGAGTCCCAGGCTCCGCCCCCCGGCCGGAGCTGACCCCGCCCACTGGATTATGCATGCGCAGAGGTGCACTGCTCAGGGCCGCCGCTAGGGGGCGCTGGTGAGGGAGTTCGGAAACCTCAGTCCCCATGGGTTTGGGAAACCTCTACCCCATGGGGAAACGGACCCACTTACCCATGGGGTACGGGGCACTCTTCCCCATTAGGGGAATGGTCAATCTTCCCCCGGGTCACACCTGCACCCTCCTCTCGCACAGACAATCCCAGGGGCAGGCCGTGCGCCTGAAGACGTCTTGACGGAGGGGCAGGGTCCCTGTCAGGGAGGGCACCCCCTGTAAGCCACAGACGAATGGCGACCGCGGCTTCCTCCAAAAATGCAGAGACACAGGACAGCGGGGAAAGGCCCGGCAAGCAAGACCCACACAGAGGGGAAGAGTCCTCACCTGGCCCAGCAGCGCTGATGAGCCCCAGACTCCGCCCCCGGCTGGAGCTTGACCCCGCCCCAGACTCTGCCTGCGCAAAGGGGCTCTTCTCAGGGTCTACGCTTGAGGGTGCAGGTGAGGGGTTTTGGGGACCCTAGGCCCCCTCGGGGTTAGGGGGCCCCTACCCCGATTGGGAAACGGTATCCCCTTCAACCATGGGCAAACTGGGCCCCCTTCCCCCTTGGGGATTGGTAAATCTTTCCCCCGTGGAACACCTGCACCATCCTCTCGCACTCACAGCCCCAGGGGCACGCTGAGCGCCCGAAGGCGCCCTAAACGGAGGGGCGGGGTCACTGTCCGAGACGGCACCCCCTGTACGCCATAGACAAGCGGCTACCGCGGCCTCCTCCAAAACTGCAGGCAGACAGGGCGGCGCAGAAAGCCCAGGGCAACCCAACCCCACTGAAAGGGTAAGAGTCCTCACCTGGCCCAGCAGCGCTGATGAGCCCCAGGCTCCGCCCTGCCCTAGCCTGACCCCGCCCACTGGACTCTGCATTCGCAAACGTGCACTGCTCAGGGCCGTCGCTAGGGGGGCTGGTGAGGGAGTCTGGATCCTCAGTCCCCATGGGGTTGGGGGACCTCTACCCCATGGGGAAACGGGGCACCCTTCCCGCTTGGGGGAACGGGGCACTCTTCCCCCTTGGGGGAACGGTGAGTCTTTCCCCCGGGGCACACCTGCAACCTCCTCTCGCACTCACACCCCTAGGGGCAAGCCGTGTGCCCGAAGACACCCTAGACGGAGGGGCGGGGTCACTGTCAGGGTGTGCACCCCCTGAAATCCACAGACGAGCGGTGACCGTGGCCTCTTCCAAAACTGCAGGCAGACAGGCTGGCGCAGAAATCCCCGGCAACCCAGCACCACTCAGAGGGGAAGAGTCCTCCCCTGGCCCAGCAGCGAATGAAGAGCCCGAGGCTCCGCCCCTGGCCCAGAGCCTGACCCCGCCCACTGGACGGCGCGTGCGCAAAGGTGCTCTTCTCAGGGCCGCCGATAGGGGGCGCTGGTGAGGGGTTCGGGACCCTCAGCCCCCACGGGTTTAGGGGGCTCTTTACCCCCATGGGGAAACGGGACCCACCTCCCCCGTGGGGGAACGGGGCACTCTTCCCACTTGGGGGAACGGTCAATCTTCCCCCCAGGGCACACCTGCACCCTCCTCTCGCACTCGCACCCCCAGGCACTGGCCGTGCGTCCCAAGATGCCCCAGACGGAGCGGCGGGGTCACGGTCAGGGAGGGCATCCCCTGTAAGCCACAGACGAGCGGCGACCGCGGCCTCTTCCGAAACTGCAGGCAGCTAGGCAGGCGGGGAAAGGTCCTGGCAACCCAGCCCCACTCAGAGGGGAAGAGTCTTCACCTGGCTCAGCAGCGCTGATGAGCCCAGGCTCCGCCCCTGGCCGGAGTCTGACCCCGCCTACTGGTCTCTGCCTGCACACGGTGCACTTCTCACGGCCGCCCTGAGGGGGCGCTGGTCAGAGACTTCGCGGACCCTCATCCCCACGGGGCTGTGGGTCCCTCTACACCAACGGGGTTACGGGGTCCTAAGTCCCCTACAGGGACTCGCTTCTCGAGCCCGTTTTGGAACGGGTCCCCTTCCCCCTGGTGGATACCTACACCCTCCTCTTGCAATCACACCCCTAGGCCAGGCCGTGCCCAAAAACGCCCATGACGGAGCGGCGGGGGTCACTGTCACGGGGGGCACCCCTGGAAGCCACAGACGAGCGGCGACCGCGTCTTCTTCCACAATTGCAGAGAGACAGGCCGGCGGGGAAAGGCAAGGGCAACCCAGCCCCATTCAGAGGGAAGAGTCTTCACCTGGCCCAGCAGCGCTGATGAGCCCCGGCTCCGCCCCCCGCTGGAGCCTGACCCTGCTCACTGGACTCTGCCTGCGCAACGGTGCACTTCTCAGGGCCGCCTTGAGGGGGCGCTGGTCAGGGACTTCGCGGACCCTCATCCCCCACGGGGCTTGGGGGCCTCTACACCAACCGGGTTACGGGGTCCTAAGACCCCTACAGGGACCAGGTTCTCAAGCCCGTTTTGGGAACGGGTCCCTTCCCCCTGGTGGATACCTGCACCCTCCTCTTGCAATCACACCCCTAGGGCCAGGCCGTGCCCCCAAAACGCCCATGACGGAGCGGCGGGGTCACTGTCACGGGGGGCACCCCCTGGAAGCCACAGACAAGCGGCGACCTCGGCCTCTTCCAAAATTGCAGGCAGACAGGCCGGCGCGGAAAGCCCCGGGCAACCCAGCCCCACTCAGAGGGGAAGAGTCCTCACCTGGCCCAGCAGTGCTGCTGAGCCTCTGGCTATGCCCCAGGCTGGAGCTTGACCCCGCCCCCGGACTCTGCCTGCGCAAAGGTGCGCTTCCCAGGGTTTCAGCTTGGGGGCGCAGGTGAGGGGTTTCGGTGACCGTCAGACCCCACTGGGTTAGGGGCCCCCCTACCCCAATTGGGAAACTGGATCCCCTTCAACCAGGGGGAAACTGGGCCCCCTTCCCTCTTGGGGGATTGGTAAAGCTTTCCCCGGAGAACACCTGCACCCTCCTCTTGCACTCACACCCCCAGGGGCACGCAATGCGACCGAAGGCGCTCTAGACGGAGGGGCGGGGTCACTGATGTTTACCCTATAAGGGAACCATTTTGGAAAGAATGTCCTTTCAAAATCCTGCCAAATATTGGTGAGAAAGGCTCACACTTCATTTCCTTTTGCACCTTCCTGAGGTTATACCAGGGCCACCTACTTTGTGTTTTTGACCACAAACAAATTAATTTGCTAATATTTCTCAATAGAGCCAACGTGTATTTAGGCCCTGTGTTAGTAGTGTTTGGGGTTTGAAGGAATCCTTGAGGGTCTCATCCTTGAGGGTCTTGAGTCTAATGGGGGAGATTTATGTAGCTGCAGATAATATCTCAGATTGTCCCTCATCTACAACTGGATAACCAGTCTTATCCATTAAAAAAAATCCATAATTAAAGAGGAAAGTAATTATTTTTTTATTTTAGAAAATACAGCCAGATTAAAAAAATCTATAAATAAAAATATAAAAATCATTCTTTCTTAATGTAGTGATAATCACTGTTCTCTCAGGTTTTTTGTTGTTGTTGTTCCGTCTGCAGATCCATTTTGTTCAGAAAAGAAAATATAAGCAATTATCCTCAGTATGGTATCTCTTCCGTTTCAGTTTTAAGTGCCTTGTTGGTTGACATGTGTTTCCTACAACTTGTATAGTATCACCTACACTCTGTTTGGGGAAAAAAAAATCTATCACATTTGACCTTTCTTGCCTATTGATTTTTTTCTTGTAGGGTCACTTTTAGCCAGTAAGGTCTGTCATTGAAACCCTCCCCTCTGTTAGATGTTCCACCATGATATCGGGTAAATCGTGTCTCAATTTTGTGGTCTTCAGCTGTTGTGTAGAGGACTCTCTTTTCCTTCTTGAGGACCAGTGTACTCTCTCAGTTTCACACATACAGAACTTTAGTTCCTTTCAGCCAACCTCAGAAACCTTGTACTTCAATTAAGGTGAACTCACCTGACTATCAGAGTATAGAAGACATGTTTTCTCACAAAAGCTTGCTTATTTATTTATTTATTTTAAAGATTTATTTATTTATGCATACAAGAGCTGGGGTACAGGCCAGCGATGCAGGGGGTGAGAGGATTCACCAGAGACAGAGTGGGGGCAGAACAGGCAGACTGACTGAAATACACTGCTGAGGGGAGCAGCGGGCAAGTCAGGAGAGGCCTGCTGTGCCCTGTGGGTTTCTCCCTGGCCGGCCGGGAGCGAACTCGTGCTGCAGAGGCTGTGGACCACTTCATAGTGCTGTGCTTAACCCCTTGTGCCACCAGGAAGGCCCCAAAGGCTTATTTAGAAGTGACTTTATTCTGAAACTTGATGTAAAGATAGGCCAAAGAGTACTGAATGAGACTAGGAGGAGAATCATTTCTCTCACAGCTGGCTTGATAACCTTCAGCTGTAGATGGAAGCCTGAGTCTGACCTTGACCAAAAATGGCTTATTGATTTTTGTGGTGGAAGTAAAATGGCATCAATATTTCATGTGTCTTGTGAAAATAAATTCATGGGACTTTAAAGAAGCAAATGTCAGTGTTTTGCTTCTTTTGTATTTGCAGTGAAAAACATCATAAAAGTTCAAAAGCTGTCAAACATGTGCTGCTTCTATAACACCTGTGCTAGGAAAAAGGTCTTCATCTAAAATGATCTGAACTTTTGTGTAATTTCTCCCCTCTCAATAAATAAATGAATTACTCAACAGTGTGAGTATGAGGTTGACTTGAGATGTACAAATGAATAATCTTCCTTCATAAATTTCATGCTCCATTGATACCTCATAGCAGAATAAAGTCTGAGGAACATCTTCAAAATTTCAGATTGATAACATGATGATAGTAATCATTAACACTTACTTGGCACTAACTACCAGGCATTGTGCCAAATACTTTATATGCTCTCTCTCTTTTACTAATTCTAACTTCCCTTTGAGGTAGATCCTAGTATCCCCATTTTATGGATGGGGTCACACGGAGGTTAAGTAAACTACTTATAGTCTTAAAAACAGGAAGTGGTTGGTTTGGCCTGGGACTGAAACACAAGCCTCAACTGGAGTCTACACATATTGGGAAGAGAAACCTGTGAGAATTCTGTTGGGTTAGGTGAGTTTTTGTTCTACAGTCACCTTTATTAACTCATGCAGCTCTGTGTTGGCATTTGCTTTGTGGAACCCCTTCTTTCAGTTGTTCTGTGCTGGACCATTAGACTCCTTGAGAGTAGAATAATTTATTTCTTTGTGATTGTACAGGACCTAAACTTTTTATGCAAGACAGTTAGATAAAAGGTCCTGATACATAATAAAGTCTTTGGAAGAAGATGGGGGAGAATAGCTGGCACATCTTTGTAGCTTCCCTATAAAATAGCAAAGGCTAGAGGCAGTGTTCATCAGCACTGCTTCTGGAAATAATAGAGCTCTCTCTCTTGTGTTTTCAACATTTCCATAGCTTGACTTCAGAATTGCTAATGCGGTGAGCTTTTCTGACATACCTGTGTAGGGAGGACTAAGCTTTTATTCTATCTTCTTAGGTTCTGTTTCTGAGTTCTGTAAGTGAAACTGACAGATTAACAGGAGAAAAAAAGGCTACAGATTTATTTATGTATTTATTTTTGGAGAACAGAAAAGGTGGATAGCAGCAGGCAAGATAGGAGAGGTCTGCTGTGCAAAATACAGATATAAGTGATGTTTTTAATATTTTTATGCAGAAGGCCTATACAAAGAAAGAAGTGAAAACTTGAAGAAGTGATTAGAGTTGGAAGTTTAATACCATTTTAATGAAGGGAAAAGTTACTGGACAACAAAAGAAGAGTTTTAGGGACCATAAATTATGTGGGTAAGTATATGGAGAAGCAAGTGGAATATAAGGGTTATTTTATTCAATGTGTTTATGCAGACTCATCTAGATGCCATCTTTGGCGACAAAGGTTGTTCCCTCTTTCATGTATGGGAGCAAGAATCATCTTAACAAGGGGAATTTATATCCTACCTTTCGGTACATATGGAGAGGGTAGAGGAGTTCTTCCTATGTCTGTTTTTTTCTTAATTTCCTTTAGCTCAGAATAACTCTGATGCCAGGGTGGAATGTTTGGGTATCATATCATCATCCTTCCCCTCATACCTCATACCCAAGGAAGAGGAGAGAGAAAAGCAAATTTCAGTGGGTTGCTGTGCTCTGTCAAGATTCTCTATGAATTTATCAATCATTGTCAGCATTTTCTCACTTTGAATTTTTGAAAGTTGTGAGGCAAATTCCTTCACTTACTCTTGGGTAGGAGTTGGGGGAGAGTTTTTTATTTGTGCTTTTTGATTGGCATGGGATTTTTACATTCTTCAGCATTTTCCAGGTTTGACAAACTACTTTTTTATATTCTTGGGACCACAAACTCAAGATAGGTCTTTTATGCCTATTTTTTCCTGTTTCCCAGAAAGGTAGTTTGAATTCAAATTTAAAAAGAGCTGTAAACAGCTGAAGTTATTTCCTGCTAAAGGGACAGCCTCAGATCCCTTATGAGTATCTGAAGTCCTAGTGAGTCCTCTGGGTATCCCTCCATGCCAAGGACTTTGCTTGGTTCTGAGAATCTCATGGGTTTTATTTCAGGATTCCCTCAAGGAGGGGCATCTTGAACCTTTTCACTTACAAGAGCCAAAGAAATGACTTCTGCCTGGAGAATATTCTGGAGTGACTGTGTCTTTCAGAAATCTTCTGGTCAAATCTATAATTTGGGGGACAACATCTCCAATTTCTAGCTCTCTGATTATGGATGAGTGTGGCTAGGCTGAGAGAAGCCCCTCCAAGCCTTTTGACATGGTTGGAAAGTATCTTAGATTGCAAGAGATTTACAAGATTCCACAGTCACATTTCCTTGCTTGAAAACCATATTCATGACTGTTCTAATATGTTGTCTGCCCAGCTTTTTAGGTTTCCTGGCTCCTTTGGGGCTTATTGTTTGGAAGAGTCAGTGCAAGTTTGTCAATAGTAGCCCTGAGTCTACCTAAACTATTTCGTGGCCAGAAACTGACAGTGAAACATTTCAACAGAAACCAAGCCCTCCAAAGTGAACTTTCTAAATGGTGTGCTGAATCTGAGAATTTCAACCTTATTTTTCTGTTGGGTAAAAATCATTCTCTTTTATTGCCCTGTACTCACTTTTATTTTATTTTTTTAAAGATTTAATTATTTATGCATACAAGAACTGGAGTATAAGCCAGAGGTGGGAGAGGGGCGTGAGAGGATTCACCAAACCCCGTGTGGGCTGAGAGTCCGCGAACGCGCTCACCAGCGCCCCCTACCGGCGGCCCCTAGAAGTGCACCTTTGCGTAAGCACAGTCTGTTGGGCGGGATCAGGCTCCGACCGGGGGCGGAGCCTGGGACTCATCAGCGCTGCTGGGCCAGGTGAGGACTCTTCCCCACTGAGTGGTGCTGGGTTGCCGGGGCTTTCCGCGCCGGCCTGTCTGCCTGCAATTTTGGAAGAGGCCGCGGTCGCCGCCCGTCTGTGGCTTCCAGGGGTTGCCCCCCCGACAGTGACCCCGCCCATCCCTCATAGGCTTCCTGGAATCAAAGTTCAAACCTTGCTTTGTAAAATTGCTCAGCGTTCACTCCAGGAAGGAGGGTTGTCAGCACTTCTTTAAAATAGGGACGGTAATAATTTTTCCTTTAAGAGACTGGTTCTCAGGCCTCCGGTTGCTCTGTCAGTTACTTAGGTCTCACACAAGAAACCAAAGCCTTTTTTAAAAAAGAAAATAATGTATATATACAGGGATTCTGACATAATGACATTTTTAGGAAAATATATTATATTAATGGGAATAAGTTTTATTGCTATAACTTTAGAATGCACAAAAAATGTATTTGTACTTGTTATTATGATGCTCTTGAGTGTTAGCTTTCCACTAAGTATCTTTGAAGCCAAAGATAAAGATCTGCAATTTGTCAGGACTGTTGACAGAGAAGGTGAGTTACTTCTGCAGCTGGACAGTCAGTATCAATGAGAGCAAATTCCTAATCATTATTAGGGAAGCCTGCAATTTAGATGACCAATGGGTCTTGGTGGAAAGCAACTGCCCTAGAAAGTAACATTCTCCGTCTTCTATCCCTGTGGGCAGCGAAGTTATTTTCACTGTCTACTCATCTGCTTACTAAATTAGCATATGGTTTTGTACACACAAGGATTGGGAGGGAATCAGGGGTGTTCCTAGAAAGTGTAAGGGCAAATTCTAATCTCTCAATCATCTGTGACTGAGACCTGTGACTCTGTTACAGGGCAGGGAGAGGGGCACTCCGGACCCCGCAAATCTGCCTGTTCTAAATGGGTTCTGCCATCTGCCGCATCAACACAAAACATATGAGACTTTAATGGGAAGGAACTTTAATACAATTAGGAAACAATACAGAAAAGACAAGGAATATAGTTTCTTTTTTTTTTAAAGATTTATTTATTTATTTATACAAGCACTGGGTACAGTCAGAAGCGTGAGAGGGTGAGAGAATTCACCAGAGCCAGAGCGGGAAGCGGAACAGGCAGACTGACGAAATACACTGCTGAGGGGAGCAACGGGTGGCAGGAGAGGTCTGCGCGCTTCGTGGGACCCTCGCCGGCGGCCGGGGATCGAACTGGTGCTGCAGAGGCTGCGCGCAGCCTGGCAACCCAGCGCTCAACCACTGCGCCACTAGGGGAGGCCCCGGAATATAGTTTCTAAATCAAGCACCCAAAGTTACCCGTCCTCTCATGGGTAAAAGTCCACCCAAATGGGATTGGCCCAGAGCAAGGCCCCAAAGCCTGCCACAAGTCTAAAGCATCTTCCAGTGGGGACCCACAGAAAAGGATCAGAAACAACCAGACAAGTCTGGAGGGAAAAGAGCAAAATCAACATCAAGACAAAAACCGTCACTGTCACCTCCCCACAGGTCTCTCACCCACATCTGTGTCAACCAGTCCATGACCAAAAGGCAAGAGTAGTTTCTTCACATGTCTCTCTGCTCCATGTGCCTCCTCCAAGTCTCCTTCTGGCTCAGCTCTCCATCCTGCTTCTTTCCTTCCTCAGTCTTCTCTGTAGCTTCTTCTCTCTGCTCAACTCAGAGTCTCTCTGGAACCTCCCCCTTCCTGGGGACCACCCTATTACAACTCCAGGCTAAGAAAAAGTTAAGATGATCTTTTCCTAGAAGCCTATTAATGAAAAAGTTAAAAAAAAAGTTTATGAGCAACTTACAGCTTTAGGAATGGGTATGAAAGGTGCCTTGGGCCTTGTAGTGACTGATGTTAGTCACTGAAGGTGTGCGACCCCGAGAATTGTCACAGCCCCCTCCCCACATACTTCCACCCCCTGCACCCTTCCCCCTTGAGTTTTTTGTAAGACTGGTCCTGTAATTACCCTATTTCAATTATAGATTTTGTAGACCACTGCTTTTCCTTTAGTTTTGGCCTTGTCATTCTCTAGGAGAAATCCTCAGGGATTCCAAACTCTTGGGCCCCTCTTCCTCCTTCCAAAGATCAATTCTAGGATGGAGCTGGAAGGAATTAGGCTTAGTGAAACAAATCAGAAGGAAAAAGAAAAATATCAGATTTTTCTTTCTGAAGTTTCACTTATAGGAGGAACATAGGGGAACTCAATAAGGGATCAGGGAAAAAAATACAAAACTAGCAGGCAACTATAAACCTGGAGTCATTCAGCAGAGGAGGGAGAAGGAGAGGGATCAAAACAGGGGCAGGAAAAGCACAAGAGACTGTGGTGATGATGCATGGGTGACTTGATGGTAAGAATTTTATGGGGACTACATCTGAGAGGAGAAAGCAAACTACAAAAATGAACAATCATGTAAAATTTATATAGAGAAATAAATGGAAAAAAAAGCAAAAATCAAATCTAGTTGGGGCAAAAACTTAAACGTTGGTTTGGGTTAAGATTTTTCCCTGGCCTTTTCTGGGATTAGTAGGATTCTTTGATATTTCTTCTAGTTGTTCTGTTCCTAAACAATCTTGACTTTCAGGGCCAAACTAGTTGGAAGGTGGGAAGGATCTCTTTGCCTGAGGCATCCCCCTGCCTGGCCTGAACTTTCATCGAGATGCCTGATCCAGGAGGCTGGTGGGTATGGTGCCCACTAGAGGTGTTCTGCCCAACTTCCCCAGGGCCACCAGGCAAGGCTGACAACTTTCATGATTAAAAACATGACTTTTAGGAACATTTCAGACCATTTAAAGGAGCACTGCGCTGTGATTTGAGAGAGGAGGCAGTTAGGGCAACCATTTTCCACTTTCAAGGTTAACGTCTTAGTGAATAAATGATTTTGGAAAAAATGAATGGTTTAGACATCTTGTTGCTTTCCTGTAGCTGGTGCCTCTGAATCCACAGAATTTGGTTCTGTCGTAACTGATGTCAGTGTCAGGACTGTCGGGTTTATTGAGCAGGGGTCCTCAGGGTACCTTCTGAGAAAATTTCACCGGAGCTCCCTTTTCAGCAGCACGTGAGCTTCCCCACAAGGCAGAGATGATTAGTTATCTCCAAAAGGGCAGGTTTATTCTATAAAAAAGGAAAAGCAAAAAGACTGCTTGCAGTCACAAGAGGGCAGAAAGAGCTGCCTTTGAAAGGGACAGGTTTGCTAAAAGAAATGCTTGTATAGACACAGGTGGGCAGGAGAGCTGTCTCTTGCCAATGCAGAAATTGTACTGATAAAGTCTTCTTTTTGGGAGGGATTTGTTCCTTTGTGGAATTGTTATGCATTGTTAAATTAATTACTTCTAAGGTTTGACTAGGTTGTTTTGTAAGGACCAGTAATTCTCTACAATGACCCTCAATCTCCTTATCCCTACCTCTCTAGTCTGCGCCTCCAGATACTTTTTTAAAAGGATTTATTTATGCATGCATGCAAGAAATGGGTGCGGGGCGGGTGAGAGGATTCACCAGAGAGAGTAGGGAGCAGAACAGGCAGATCCCCTCTACACTGCTGAGGGAGGCAGTGGGTGTGGCACCATGTGGGTTGCTCCCTGCCCGCTAGGGATCTAACAACTGGTGCTGCAGTGGCTGGTGACAGCTTGACAGCACTGTCTTTAACCTCTGTGCCACCAAGGAGGTCCCCCTCCGGATACTTTCCATAGCAGCCTGACACTTGCTATAGCAGTTTGGCAGCTAAGGATTTTTCATTTCTATAGCTGGTTTAACAACTATGCTAATCATTTCTACCCCTACCTTCCAGTTTCTGATCTTGTGATGCCAACATCCTAAATTATCTACTCTTAGCCTCCATCAGTAACTTTGTACTTCCCCAGAGTCTCTCTGTTAGCAGGCAGAAAAAAAATGAGAGGCACCCCAGGGGCCCAAACCTGCATGCTGTAAATGGGTCCTGCCTTCTGCTGCAAAAAGACAAAAATATTTTTAGTAGTTACAACCTTCAACAGAAAAGAACTTTAATATAATTAGTATGCAATAGGAGAGAAAAATTACATTTAAAATAGTTTCCCCGTGGAACACCCAAAGTTACCCATCCCCTTGTGGGTAAGTGCCCAGGCAAACAGAGTTGCCCCAAGCAGGACCACTGGGGCATGAAAGCTGCCATAAGTCTAAGGCACATTCTGGTGGGGACCCATAGGAAAGGGGCCGAAGGGGCCAGGCAAGTCTAGAAGGTAAAGAACAAAATCAAAATACAATTCAAGATAAAGGCTGCCACTGTCAGTCTCCTCATGGGACTCTTACCCACATCTCTATCTCTTTCATGTGTCTTTTTCCATGTCACCCAAGTCCCTGGTTCAGGCCCAAGGCAGAGATGCAATTGCTGCTGCTTCTTCACACGTCTCTGTGCTCCATGTGCCTCCTCTATGTCTTCTGCCTCCAGCCTTCTCTCCCAAGTCCTTTTTAGCTTCCCCTTGTTGCTCTGCAGCACCCTTCTTTAGGTGGGGCAGGGACCCTGGAACCTCCCCTTTCTATGGGAATTACACTGTTATATGTCTTTTTTGTGGGCCTGAGAAAATTTGAATCCTTTTTTGTGAACTGAGGAGTCCAGTTTTCAAAGTTATCTTTTATTCTTGGTTCTCTATATTTTCCTTTTGTGTTCATTAATATTTCTTATACATCCAGAGCTAGTATTGTTACACAGAGTTCCAGTATTAACTAGAAATGCACCTCAGCTACAGCTTTGGCCCCCATGCGTCCTTAGGGTAAGGTTTCAGTGAGCTCCTCGCTTAAGCCCAGTTCTTTGTCTCTGGAGATTCTCTTCTTTCCTAGACACGGTGTATTTCCTTGCCCCACGTCAGGTTTTAAATGGGTTCTGCTATAAATAAAGGAGATATCTTTATCATATTGCCTTGCTAGTTTATGTCTTTTTAGAGGATTCTAAAACATATATTCTGAGAAATATTTTAATCCAAAAATATCCCATTTAATCTCTAAAGACTGGTTTATATAATAAATATAGATATAAATGTATATTAAACACACACACATAAAATTTTCTGGTCTGGTGTTTTTTCAAATTGAATAGTGACACGGTAGTAAGTCAGTAGTTAGTTGTGACCAGCATATTAAACAGATAGAAAGAGATAGAACAGAGCAATAATAGAAAATTTAGGTGAATAACTTTTTGTGAAATCATTTTTAGTTGTATGTGTGTGTGGTGTGTGTGTGTCCTGAGACCTGATGTGAAATATATTCCTTAATGTGGTTCTCAAAACTTGAGCAATCTGTTGCTCATCTGTGCTAATCCACTCAACCATCTGTGCCCATCCACTACCTAATGTCTCTCTCTTTCTCCAGCCAGCCTCCAGGCAGTCCTACTTGACATTCTCAGATCACACTTCCTGGCCTCTGGCTGCTGTCTATATACTGCTCTATATTCTGGGGTGTCTTTCCCTGCTCCTCCTTGCAAGGGTAACTCCTGTTTTTTTTTTTTTTCCAAAATGCTACCCCTTGTATAGCCCACACTGACCTAAGAGCCTCTCCACTGTTTGTAGTATGTACACCATGTTATCACTTTTGTGGGTGTACTTGGCTTTACATATGCTCATTTTTACCCCAATTTTACTTATTTATTTTTTTTGTGTCATCAGGTCCGGGAAACAGAGAACAAAAGAAGCCTCATTAAAATACTCCACTGGGCCTCCCTGGTGGCACAGGAGTTAAAGACTCAGCACTATCAAGCTATCACCAGCCACTGCAGCAAGAGTTCAATCCATAGCCAGGGAGCTGACCCACATGGCATAGCAGACCTCTCCTGTCTCGCCCACTGCCCACTGTCTCTGGTGAATCCTCCCACCCCCAGCACCTCTGGCCTACACCCCAGCTCTTATATGCATAAATAAATAAAATAAATCTTTACAAAAAATATTTGGCTGGTAAGATACAAAAACTTAAAATTGTCCTTCAATGGGGCATTAAATGGAACATATTTTCCTGGTTATGTATGGAATTCCTATTTATAGTGAATTCAGAATTAAAGAAGAAAGTAAACATCATTCATAGTGCTAATGCCCAGAAATAGCGCTGTTAATATTTTGATGTTGTTTCATTTCAGTTTTTCTTCTGTGCATGCCTTTGTTTTACATAGCTGATTGTATATATAATTTTATTATTGGCCTATTTTTATATAACAGTAAAGCATAAAATAACTAATTTTTAAAAGTCATGCTAAGCCTTTTATTATTATCATTATGGTAACCTGTATCCCAATATATGTTCATATTTACATATTCATGCATTTCTGTTTTGGCTGTAATTCATATTCATTGCTGTTATGGTCTGAATGCTACTATCCACCCAAATCCATATATTGAAGCCCCAACCCGCAGTGTGATGGTATTTGTAGATGGGATCTTGGGAAAGTAGTTAGTTAGGGTTAGGTGAGATCCTGAAGCCCGTCTTTATGAAGGGATTAGTGACCTAAGAGAAGGAAAGTCCATGAGGGCTCACAATGAGAAGGCAGCCACCTGCATGCCAGCAAGAGTGTTCTCAACAGGAACTAAATTGACTGCCACCTTGGTCTTAGACTTCTAGAACTGTGAAAACTGAAGGCTGTTGTTTTAAGTCACCCAGCCCACAGTTTTATTAAGTACCCTGAACTGACAGATAGCTTTAGGTTTCAAAAATGATGACTTCAAACTCACATTTAATTATTTAATATCCAGAAAGGATATATTATGAGCTGTTGAACTTTGTTTGCTTAACAAAAGCATTAAGATTTCTCTGTTGGGTTGTGTAAATGACATATTCCCTAATAGATAGGAATAGGAGTTTATAAGGCTATCTTCCCAGTGAAGATAAAAACACAAAGAATAAGTCTCTAAGTAAGGTTAAAATTTGTAGTTATAAAAATAGTTAACACTTATGAGTACAGGTAATACTTTAAATGTATTTGTTTAATTGCATTTTAATGCCAGAGTGCCAGTATTAAAAGCTCAGATCTCGCTAAGGTTCATCTTGACTGTTAAGAGCATGAGCTCTGGAGGTAGAAATCCTGGGTTTACACCCCATCTCTGTGCTATCCTCACTGTGTTATCCTAGAATAATTACATACCCTCTCTTACCTTAGTTTTTTTCTTCAGTATCATAGGGTTAATAAAGTATTTACATATCTGGATTTTTTTTTCAATTTTCTTACATTGTTGTTCATTTTTGTATGATATTTGATTTCTCCCCCAGGTGTAGTCCCCATAATTCTCCCACTGCACCTGTGAACCATCTCCATAGTTCTTGTGATCTTCCTTCCCCTGTTTTGACTCCTTTCCTTCCCAGTTCCCTGCTGTATGCCTCAGATCTATGGTCAGCCTGCAAGTTCTGTCTTTTTCCTGATCCTTTATTATGTTTCCCTATATTCCCCCTGTAAGTGAGACCATCCAATATTTTCTTTTTCCTTCTGACTTATTTCATTTAGCTCTATCCCCTCCAGTTCCATCCACGTTGCTGCAAATGGCATGCCTATCTTTTTTTAATTGCTGAATACTAGGAATGTTTTGAGAATTAACTGAGTTGCTATACGTTTGTACTTTGCAAGGTATCTGGCATGTGGTAAATATCCCATAAACCTGAACTAAGAATGGATAATTCCATTTTAATGGATAATTCCATTTTAAAGATTTATTTATTTTTATACAAGAACTGGGGTACAGACCAGAGGCACGGAAGTGTGAGAGGATTCGCCAGAGACAGAGCGGGGAGCAAAACAGGCAGACGACTGAAATACTCTGTTGAAGGGAGCAGCGGGTGTGATAGGAGAGGCCTGCCACACTATGTGGGAATCTCCCTAGCCTGCCAGGAATCGAACCCATGCTGCAGAGACTGCGGAAAGCTTCACAGCACTGCCAGTGCTGCGCCACCGGGGAGGCCCTGGATAATTCCATTTTGGATAAGAGATTTTGGCATTGGGAGATTTTCCATCTCAGTCTTGGGTGTATAGATTCATTTGCCCAACTAGTCATTTCAGTATAGCAAGGCTGAAACTCAGACTGCATGTGGAGTCAGTGAGAGGCAGATTTGCACCCTCCATGTTGTGGCATAATGCTTCTTTTCTCTGACTTTTAACTTACCAGAAAGGGGGGGGGGTGTGTGCTATGGGCCAGTGGGCTTTCTGTAAAGGGCCAAACAATAAATACTGTAGATTTGTGGTCACAGATGGTGTCTGTTGCAGCTGTTCAGCTCAACCACTGTAGTGTGAAAGTAGCCATGGGCAATGTGCAAATACTGTGTTCCAAATTTTATTTATGGACACTGCAGTTAAAATTTCAAATAATGTTCATGTATTGCAAAATATTAATTTGATTACCCACTCAACCATTCTTGGCTCATTGGTTTTACAGAAACAGGCATTGCTGTCATGGGTCAAACATTGGATTCATTTTGCCTTTTGTAAAAGGTGATTTGACCAGTGTAGCATTTTTTACTTAGATTTCAAGGACCAAAATAAATAGTTTTCTTATTCTTCTCTCCCCACCACTCTCAAACCCTACAAACTGACTTTGGAAGCAGAAGCAGTTCGTTTTGGGAAAAATTATCTCTAAGGGCCTTTACTCCTTCCTCTAACTCTTAGCCAGTCAAGATGTAGTTGGCAACCAGCTTGTCATTTGAAATTTTGAACCTCGTTCTTTGGGACTTTTATGTTATACTGAGGAGAAGAAATAAAAATAACCAGCAATTTTGACCCTCAATGAGAAAGTAACCAAGTTTGCTGAAAGGCACTAAAAAGCATAAGCAAAGAAAAAATGGATAAGAAAGGCACACTGTTAATAAACAGAAACCCTCTTGTCAGAAAACACACTGGCTACTGTTTTTAATGGGTCTGCAATCCCTGCAGCTGAAATCAAGATGCGTTTCAAATTCTTTAGGTTTTTAGTATTTTTTAGATATAGATAAGGGGGCTTAGAGAGAAGAAGTTGGAATAAGGAAAAATGAAAACATGTTCACAGGTTTTTAAAATTAGTTATATGCTTTAAAAGTGTATGTGTAACTAGAATTAATTGGCTTTGATTTACATAATCCAGGGAAGATCCAACTCATTACAGTGGAAACTCTTGGATATTGCTGAGCTCACATGATATCCTTTGCAAAGAGTATAGCTGCTGTGCTTTATTTTCAAGCAGTGGACTTTTGTGGAATGATGTGAATAGAGATCTTCATCAAGAAACTTGTTCTGTACTAATCATACCTCATTTATGGGGGTTGGAATCTGAAAAACCCAGGGGAAGCCATGCTGGCCCACCAGAGCACAGCTGTTTCCTTTCACCCCAGCAATCTAAGTGAAGGGCCCTGCCTCTTGGATATGATCTCATAGCAGGAAACATCCTGTTTTAGCATGCACATTTAATATAAAGATGTAAATATGCCTAGTAGAAATTACACTAATACTTTTATTCACCCTGAGAGTATTTTTTGTGGTCACATCTTTTTCATGCCCCTAGGATATAAATTAAGTTTATGGTCCCTGCATTCTCTTGGAGAAATTAAGTATATATATATATATATATGCATGTATACATATATGTATATATAATGGTAAATTCTTATTTTTCTATGATTCTCCCTTCCTTGTTCAATTCTTTTTGAAAGCTCTTAATATTGGTTATAACTATCTGCTTTTGGGAGAGATGGGAAGATACTGTTTTATATATGCTAGCTGAATTTTGAAATTCACAAAGAAAGAGAAGATAAAATTTATTCTTTAGTAAGTCCTGTAGCAAACCCCTAATTGATCAGAGTTTAGAATAGTGCCTTTCAAATTTTTCTTGACCTAGATCTTTATGTATGAAAAATTACTTAGTCAATTGAAAGTGCAAACATGTATTATCAGAATGTAAAAATATTATATTAGTGATGATTTTGATACTGTGAATTTATGTGTCCAAAATTTATTATAGAGATAGAGAAAAGTATAGGTATAGATTGAGTTAATATTGAGAGACTAGGGCCTCCCTGGTGGCACATGGGGTTAAGTACCACACTATGAAGCAATCCACAGCCTATGCAGAATGATTTCAGGCCAGGGAGAAACCCACATGGTGCAGCAGAACTCTTGTCTTGCCCGCTGCTCCCCTCAGCAGTGTATTTCAGTCATTCTGCCTGTTCTGTTCCCCACTCTGTCTCTGGTGAGTCCTCTCGCCCCCTGCATCTCTGGCCTGTACCCCAGCTCTTGCATGCATAAATAAATAAATCTTTAAAAAAATTGAGAAACTATTTCCACTAATAATTTGCGAGTGGGGGGAACCATTATCTCCTTTGTGTGATTGCCCTCAATGAAATAGCGTCATCAGCTTTAAGGTAATCTTCAATCCCAGGAGGTGAGGAGGTATGTTTTGACTTCAGTTTCTATTAGGGAGGAAAGAAAGCTTACTAAATTGGTGGCATTATCATGGCAGGCAGCTGATAAGTACCAAAGATAGCTAGCACCAAGATACCTTCTTTTTCCACAATCTTATTTTAGAGAGAACATTTGTTTGTTTTTTTGTTTTTTTTTATAATAAATTTTATTTTTATATTCCCCATACAATTGCAACCCCCCATTTTGACCCCAATCCCTCCCCTCCCTCCACCCACCCCCCAAAAGTGTCTCTGGTTCATAGATTTTTGTTGATTTTGATTTTCACTTTCTTATAGTTATTCATTTTCCTGGTCCCTTATTTAAGTTTTCTAGATTCCTGCTATGAGTGAGACCATCCGGTATTTTTCTTTTTCTTTCTGGCTTATTTCGCTGAGCATGATCCCTTCCAGTGCCATCCATGTTGCTGCAAATTGCATGTGTTTATCTTTTTTGAATGGTGAG